GCAGTCAAGCCGAAGTTACAGGTTTTGGCCGTTTTGCTAGACTACCCACAAGATAAGGTGTGCGTGGTAGAAGCGTGTAATTAAAACTCACCTAATTATTACACTGTCCTATGTATTGCATCAGTACCCCATATGGTATCATCTATCCCGGTGAGAAATGCAGCCTCTGCCTGCCCCTTTCCCCTTCCAAAACTCGGAAAAGTTGTATGGCCGAGAAAGTTACACAGGTTTCTAGCAACAGAAGGTACTGGGCCAGTACAAGAGTGATGTATGTTAGGTCAGATGTACACGGCTTTGTCTCCAGGTTGAACATAAAATTCAAATTAACCTGGCGTAGTCTTGGAAGTCAGCTGTCACGTCTGGGTGCTTCTGTGGCCTCTTTTCTGACTCGTCCCCCCAGAGCATTCCTGAAGCGCTTAGTGTATAGCTAACCGCAAGCTGTTTACGTATTTGCAGGTAACTGGTGGCTGAGATGCCACAGGGGTTGCTGTGCAGTTCCTTCTAACAAATAGGCTGCTTCTGCTATTTTGCTTTTATTCTCAAACTGAAGGACACTTTGCTTAAATGTATTAGCTGCAGGCAGTGCTCTTAGTGCATAAGCTGGAGTATTATTAGTCCTCCTTAGCAACTGCTATGTATTTTCAAAGTCAGTTTTTCCAGTAATTTTTCCTTAAGTGACTTAAGGCTTATCTTTACTGCAGAACAGATTTCAAGATGAGAGATGTGCTTGAATTAGTGTAGATAAAGCCCCTGTCTTGAGCTGCTATCTTGAGGAGAGGCAACTACAGCAGCATATAGCAGCTGCAGAGCTATGCTGACAAGCAGCATGCGCAGCTCTATACTTCTCTTGCCGTGTTCTCTCTGGTTGTGTTGCTTTAAGTGGAGTTCTCCTAAGGATAGGTCACGGCACAGCTAATTTGAGACTTGGCTTTACTTTCAAGTGGTTATGTTCTTTTTCAGATGTGCCCTTTAACAGCTGCTTTATCATTGACCTAACTTGGAAATTAATCAAGCACTAAATCCAGCGTTGTGCCTAATGATGTTGTGGGAAACAGGCTTCAGACTCCCTGGTGACTCCATAGGTCTAGCCTAGGTCACTGGATAGAGCTCAAGATGATCGGTTCTGCCCCCAGCAGATCCTGCCTTGTTTTTCCTCCCATCCATAGGACTGTCTCTTCTTAAACTGAACTAAATTGCAATCTTTGTACTATAATCTTGTATTAATGGCTCTTTCACCTTTCTTACAGCAGAACTTCCTTTCTTACCAAGTGCCTACTAGGCACTCTAGTTCAATATTTGACAAGCTTACAGTTGATTTTTCTACTGTTTCTGTCAGCTAGATGCATTCTACTTGTTGCTGTAGGCCTTGTAGTTCTCCCTTGTTAATGCCTGCCTTTCCTGACCCACATCTTCTCTAGATAAGGAATGTGGACAGTGATTTCTCCTCAGTCCTAAGTCTCTTCTAACCCTTTTTGATGAAAGTTACTGCCTGTGATGCAATGAGAGAGGCCAAGTTTCCATATCAGTCAGAGGGAGGGGGAAGAGAGAAGAAGTGCAGCAAGTGGGCTTTTACCTACATTCTGGGAAATTAATTAAGAGCATTGCAAGCTTTTCCCCTTGCCTACTGACTTCCTTTTTATTGGGACATATTTTGAAGTTAATTTAAAAAAAAATGGGAGAAGCTCCACTCCCAAGATCTTCATATTTCATGGCTTTTAGTGATGACAGAAACTTAGTCCCAGCTCTCAGAAGTCCTGGGACACTGTAACTCTTAGAACTTACAAGAAAAGCCTTTTGTAAGTCCTAAACTCGTATCATAGTAGGGGAAAAAAGTGGGAAGATCTTTGTAGAAAATCAGGCTTCCCAACCACTGTCTGCTAAGGGGTTGGAAATTCATGTTCTTAGTAGTTACAGGTAGAACAGAGTAAGGTTTCTTGTAAGACTTTTTGCTCAAGAATCTGGAGACAGCAGCAATAGAGGTTTTTATTGTCTCTGTTTGACTGCTGAGACAGATGAATTCACAGGCTGAGGAGAAGCAAAATAAGATGTTGTATCCGTGTCAATGATTAAATTAGGTTTGAAGTATCGAGGTAGTTTTACTGTGCTCTATGATTCACACCAGCTTGAATGTATCAATAAAAATGAAGTTAAGATTACGTCTAAATGTTTTTACCTTTTTTAAGCATCCAGTTCTGATCTATGCAAAAGTTCCATATAAGCAAATGGGGAATTTTCCTAAGCAGAATTAAAGAGCTGTATTCAGGCAATGTTTTCTACATATTCAGATGACTGGATAAGTAGAAGCTAAGGCATTTTGTCTCCAAGTTATTTTATCCGGATTTTTCTAAAAGGAAAAAGTTTTACAAGAGACACGTTTATTAAATTGAACGTAAAAGTTAATGTTTTTCTTTCTCAGTTAGTGTTATCATTTATCTAAACTGAGGAGGGTAATTTATTAATTGATTGACTGAAGTGGAATGGAAAGTGGAATTGAAAGCATTCACCCAAGATATATTGTGTCTTTCCAGGTCTGTCCAAAATAATAATAAAAAAAAGCCCAAACAAAAAAAACCTTACTTTTCTTATTCTCCCCATCCTGCCCTGTACAGCTCTTCTGATGTGAGGGCTTTGCTCTTTGGTTCAGAAATTAACAGCGTCTTTTACAGTTATGTACAAGTGGTATCATAATTTCTTGGGCAGTCTTCGCCTTCATGAAGGCACTTGGAATGGGATATAAACACACTCATTAGCTCCATTAAAATGCATGGGTAGAATGTTAGAAATTCTTCCACCCAACTACCGGAAATGTCACACCATGTAAGAAATTAGTTATCAGTATGCTTCAAGTCCTAGCTAACTTTAAGCTGTTCTTGCTTTGCAGAACTACTTAGTATTCTCTCTTGCAGCAAGATAGATCACTGCGTTGCACCAGAAGCTCACAGAATTTGAAAGTTAACAGGCCACTTAAAGCCATCCAAACTTACTGTAGATAGCTAAGTATTTCCCCATATTATTGTATGCCCTTAGATTCAAGGAAATTTTCTTGATGTAAATGTGATTTTAAGGGTTAGAGATGCAATATCATATGCTTGCTCTGCTTTTTTTCTCCCTTAGTCGTCCACTTCTGTTTCTCTCCGTATCCCTTATACCAATATGACTCGCTGTGACTGCTCTTACGTTGCATTCTTATGTACTTGGCTTTGCAGAACAACCTGGGCAGCAATAACCCTCTGCTTAGGACAGTGTTTCATTTTTCTCTTTTGCAGGTGTCAGATATTCACATCAGTAGATTTAGGGATCCCAAGCGAGCTCCTGACTTCGAAAAATTCTGTTCTGAAACAATTGATATAATTCAGCCAGCACTTGTTCTAGCAACAGGTAAGCAATTCAAAAGTGTGAATTTCCTGTTGAATGTGCTGTCAAAGGAAGAGCAAATAAGCAAAATTCTAGCATCTCAAGAGAGAACTTTAAAGCCTTAAGGTATCCTAAGCAACGGAAATGGAATTGCAGCTGAAGATACACTGCTAGAAGCAGAAGAGAATCACTTCTCAAGAGAATTAGTTTTTGTTCAATGTCTTGAGTCTGATGGTGAGTTTAGTGTGCATTATACGTAACAAAGCTGTAATTACGCAATATAGCTGTTGTTTTCCCAATATTTGTTGCTACACCTTAGTCCTTGCTAGCAACTACCTTCCTTCTTGTTTTCTGGTAGTGATTCTACATCATTCTTCATATTTGAAATTACAGAAGTGAGGAATGTCTCTGATTAGTCATTAAGAGCCAGTTCCTCTCTCAGAACAATCCCCGCTCATTTGTATGAAATTCACCTGTGAACTAGTGTAAGGTTTCATTGCTGGTTTCCATTTGAACATACCATACCAAGACAGGTGAAATAAGCCTCGCCATTTCATTTGGTAGCTTGTTATTGCTATTGAAATAGATTAAGTTTTGGCAAGTAAATAAAAAAGACTTTGAGCCATTATTATATGCAAGGCTTTAGAATCTTAATGCTAAACCTGGACTTCTGTTTCTATAGAGATTTACCTATCTGCTGCTTGCTTTTAAGTTAAGAGTTCAGCAACAGTTAGCATTCCTCTTTTAACTAGCAATGTAGGGACGCATTACTATCTGAAGAGAAATGGGAATGGTTCAAACTTTAATTGGAGCTTGAGGGGATACAGAAGATGTGAAGTTAAACAAAGTTTCTGTGACTAGAATCTTCAAGTATAATGAACACATAACAATTTTCTTTACTTTGGCATGGCATTAGTAAAAGTGCTGCAGTGACGTGGTTAATAGATGTTTGAACAGCCTGCTGTGTCTCCATTAGAAGGCATTTACCCTTATGGTAACCTCTCGGACCAGATGACAGGAGCATCCAGATTGCACGCAGGAGGCCTGCAGCCACTTACACTTGGAGGCTTGGAATGCATGCTTGCCTAGTCGTAGTTTTTGTGTAAGCTGTGTAGGCCTCTAGTTATATCTCACCTTTACGCGATTTCAGGTGACCTGACAGATGCTAAGACAAGAGATAAACTGGGATCTGAGCAGGTAGAAGCGGAATGGAAAATTTACCAGTCAATCCTGAAGAGATCAAGGGTCATGGAAAAAACCAAGTGGATAGACATCAAAGGGAATCATGGTAAGAAGGAAATGAAATGTCTCTTTCTTTCCTGTGATTACAGAGCTGGCTTAGGCAAGTTAGAATACAGAGGTAAAGTGTTAGTACTTACTAGCACGTTAGTGAAGTTTATGAGTCAGTAGAAGGGCTTGCCATTCATGTGTCTGCTCTACTGAGGGCACACTTCGTTTACAAGCACTTGCTGGAGTTTTAGTACCAGGGAAGTAAGAGTCTTCATTTATTGCTTTTGCCTGGCAAGTGGTAGAACACAGCTTCAGATGTTAGTTTCCAGGTCATTTGTTTATATACCCCATCTTTTAATGGAAGGGCAAACTGTAACCTTACCCTACTGAAGAAATGGTTTCAATTTACTTTTCATAGACCTCCCCCCACAGGTTTAAGTTAAAAAGTATCACATGTTCAACAGTTAAAGGAAATTTGTTTTCTTTTGAATAGAAAGAACTCATGGAAGTTTGTACGCATCATAGTAGTTGCTACATTCTACTCATTCAAACACAAGCAAAACAACCTTGTAGGCTATATAAGCCAGCTGTTACAGGAAGGGCAAAACTAGAAAGCCTAGCACTGGGGGGGGGAAAAAAAGTGTATGCTTTGTTATATGCAGCCCGTATGTGACATTTTACTCCCATTTCCCTATCAGGCTTCTGTTACCAGCCTTAATGGAGAGGGTGGACCCCAGTCGCAGTACAAGCCTCCCCAAGTTGCTGTCTGTTTTACACATGCTATTCTGTGATGCTATTGCTACTTTATTTTCCTTGGATGAGTTAGGTATCGCTTATAGAGCATACACCCAATCTGAAAAGCTTCTGAAAAGCTTTATGGCCAAAGTGGAGACACACAATTAGCTTTTAGCCACTAAATTACAATTTACATTCCCACAACAACTTTATCTTTGAATTGAAATTTAAATGAGAAAACTATGCACACTTTTAGGTCAACTGCATCACATATATAATGTCTTCTCTGCACAGTTAGACAGTCTGCTTGTCAATTATGCATTTTTAAAAAAGTAGCTCTTCAGTGCTTGCTAAGACTGCTTTATCTCAACATTAGGAAATAAAATACAGAGGTCAATATCATTTTGGTCTGAAAGTTGCTTCATTTCCTTTTTCTCTCCCTTACAGATTCGTTCAACATTCCACACCTGGATAGCATTCAGAATTATTACAGGTACTTTTATTTACCGTACAGATGCCATTATATTCAAGGTCAAACTCACTAAACAATATTCTGTTTTCAGTTATCACATACATGCTTTTTCACTGACTTTCCTATAGTCCAGGATCATATTTGATATTCCCGCTGTCTTTTCCATTGCCAGTTAGTAGAGCAGGATAGATTAAGAAAACAGAGAATTCTTTGCGCAGACTTATCTCTTATCCCTCTGTGTTTTGTAATTGGATATATTGTAAATCTGCCTGTGTATAGGAAATGTTCTGTGCATTATGTGTTCAGTTTCCTCAGAACAGTTGTGTGATATATTTCTGTAAAACCTGTGTTCCCAAAGAATGCTTTTCCTCCTTAAAATAGATGAAAAAAGAAAAAGAAAGCAAGAGAAAATTTCACTTTTTAAATGTTCTTTCTGCATGCCCAGAAGGGCTTTTCATGTTTTATGGGTCTAAATTTTATCTGAGCCATTTTATTGACATCTGAGTCATTTTAGAAAACTGAAAGTAGAGAAGCAAGAAGGCAGATGATGATGATGGGTAGACAAATGTTCTTGAGGAACACACTTGAAATTTAAATGTGAAGATAGGCAAGGAAACTTCCCCCTCTTCAGCTGGCTCTTTTGCTTGTACATTGTAAAGGTAGCCTCAGTTGTAATGCATGTTTAACTTCTCAGTTTCTCCTGCCCTTTCACATCTGAACACAAAATCTTGTCTCAGAATTTTGGTGGTGCTTTCAGCTTTGACTCTTTGGAACTGGAGGAGGACTTGGAAATCTAAATTCTGCTTTAATTCAGGCTCTTAAGCCATCCACTTTGCAATAAGAACACAGATACACATCTGAGAGTTCAGTTTGCTTCAGTTCCCTGTGGCCCAGCAGGAGCAGATATGTTCTCCCTTAAATTCTGTGTGAGAGCATCCTACAGCAGCTGCATTTGCAGGAGATCGTGGAATTCCCATGTGGATTTACCATGAAGGGATGAACATACAGTGCTAACAAGGCTTTTGGATGCACTAGTGCAGTGCACGTCACTATATCTTTTGCCACAGTTGTGGCTACATGACAATCTATCGTCAGTCTTCCACGCTAGTTTAAGGGTGGTATCAGAAGTCCTAGTGACACACATCAGAAGATGTAGCACCAGTGAATTTGCCGGATCATCCCTGAATTGTTGTTTGTCCTGGGCAAGCTTACTGTTTGGAAGGATGTATGGATCACCTGCCTCTAGTCTACACTGAAGATGCACTGATAGCAAAAGGGATTGGAAAGGATTAGGGTGAAATTTTAAAGCATTTTAGCTGACCTAAGAATTTCTGAGTGAAATTTTGAGTCAGGTGAAAAAGTCTTCGCTTATTAATTAACAGTCTCTTGCTAAACAAATGTGTTCACATAATGTTTTTTGCTTCATAATAGTCTGTTATCATAGCAACATAAAGAAACTTTAATGAGATTTATCAGACTTTCTATCTAAGACTGAAGAAAGGCACTAAGAGTCCTCAAAAGCTGTTAAGCATCACTAAAGGCAGAACTACCTTTACAGGGACAGTTTTATTAATCTGATGCTTTAATAAAATATAAAGATTAAGAAAAATTTTAGTAAATGTTTCACAGTCTAGGAAGAGAGAAAGGAGATGGTGGAATGAAATGGGGTCTTGAGGAAGCCTTTTCTCCTCCCCCATCCCTGCAAAGTTAAACAGTCAAAAGGACAATGGGTTTTTTGTGCGTGTCTTTTTTTTGTGCGTGTCTTTTTTTTGTGCGTGTCTTTTTTTTTTAGTCTGAGCAACAGTAAGGCACTGTCTGCTTGCCTTTAGGTGATCTTGGAAAAATAATTCATTCTTGGCTGTACACCTTAGAGCACTGTAGCTTGCAGATATAAAAATAGAGGCTAGGGAAAACAGTTATTCAGCACCACATTCTGGCGTTCATTATGTTCATTATGTGTTAAAGTTAAAGGCAGCAGCAGTTGTATTGCAATACAGTAATATTTTTACACAAAAACATGGGTTCCTATTTTATGTCCACAGCATGAGCAGAGGATGATTCAACTGTTACACATACTCTAAGTGGGATTAAAGGCAGAAATCTTAGGATTATGATACTGAACTTCCAGTTTTCTTATTGAAGTTCATGATGTTCATAAAGGTAACATTAACTTCAAAAAATAAACATTATGAAAGGGTCTTTATGGCATTGGAAGTATTGATTAATGTCTGAAACTTGTTTTTAATATATTGACTTTTATTCTGTTCAGGTTGACCTTTCTGGCAATTTTATTGTTTATTCGGATTGGTGGAGGAATAGTGATATGAACTGGTTTCCGGATGGCTGTGTTCAAACTATACTCATCATCTGAAATCAGGGATGTTTCAGCTTCCACATACCATGCAGGGAGTTTAAAAAAAAAAAAAATCCAAAAAACCCAAATACACTCACACACAAAAAAACAACCCCAAAACAAAAATATCCCCCCCCAGTTAAACCCAATAAGTTTTAGTTAGTCATTTACTCACAATCATTTTAGTTACAGAATTTAATTCTTAATTGAGCAATTTAGTAGGTACCATTAGTTGGAATGTTATCTGTCTTTGCCAGTGGAGGATATGTGCAATTCCCATCTAGCATGAAGTATCAAAGGCACTTCAATTTTAGCAGTCAGAAAACCTGAAAATACCTGTTGTTAATGGAAGGAGAGAAAGCAACATATATATTCATTATTACATGTGTGTATCGTAGCCAATATTAGCATAAAACCATGGGGGGAAAAAAAAGGTGGAATTAGCTGACATGTTTTTTAAGTCCTTCCCTGTTTGCAGTTCTCTTTTAGAGTATTTTAAGATAAGATTCAAGAGCTCATTTAACATCAAGTACCACGCAAAAGAGCAGCAACCCTTTTTGCTCTCTCCTTTTACTCTCTGAATGCAGAATTCTGATGGCATTCCACAGGTGACAGGAGAACTGGTAAGATTTGCTATGTCAAGAAACAAAGAAGAGTAATAAGCAAGAGGAAATGCTACCTTCTTTGCTATTTAGAAGATTTGGTGTAGCATAGTGTCTCTGTTTTGGATCTTTTGGAAAATAACTGAAAAGGTTCAATATTTCTTTGGTTTGAAGTTATATTCCATTATCCAACACATGATCATTCTACATAAGAGTGAATTAAGAGATCCCTTACAAAGTAGTGGAGACAAGACTTGATGCTTGATGTCCCTGATATTTCTTGGTAAGCAAGTGTCCTGGTTTTGGCTGGGATAGAGTTTATTTTCTTCCTAGTAGCAGGCATAGTGCTGTGTTTTGGATTTAGGATGAGAAGAATGCTGATAACACACTGATGGTTTAGTTGTTGCTAAGTACTGCTTATGCTAGTCAAGGACTTTTTCAGCTTCCCATGCTCTGCCAGGTGCACAAGAAATTAGGAGGGGGCACAGCCAGAATAGCTGATCCAAACTGACCAAAGGGCTATTCCATACCATATGACGTCATGCTCAGTATAGAAACTGGGAGGAGTTGGCTGGGGCGCAGTGATCACTGCTCGGGGACTGGCTGGGTGTCAGTCAGTGGGTGGTGAGCGGTTGCATCAGGTTGGTTTTCTTTTTCCCGCCTGGGTTTTGTTTCTCTCGTTGTTCTCCTTTTCATTACAATTGTTGTTGTTGTTATTATTTTATTTCAATTATTCAACTGTTCTTACCTCAACCCACAAGTTTTCTTACTTTTGCCCTTCTGATTCTCTCTCCTATCTCACCGGGGCAGAGGGAGGGTGAGTGAGTGGCTGCATGGTGCTTGGTTCCTGACAGGGGCTAAACACGACAGCAAGGAAAAATTATTTTTTAAAACTTCTTTCAGATACCAACAATAAACCCAAGACAATAATTTTTTTTTCCTTTGCAGATCTCTAATTAAGAGTGGTGTAAGATCCTACTGTCCTGCCATCTTGCCTATTTGTTTTGCATCGTTTATGCTGCTGGCCTATCCTTTATCCATAAAAAAGTACCGTGTTGCTCAGGGAAAGTGTATTTATGCTAACATTTTTAAATAGTTTAAATATCTAACCTGCTGCTTGTCTTAACATATGACCCACGTAATGCATCTTCTTTGAAGTATAGACTTTTCAATGCCATTGATTTTTAAGAAGAAACTTTATTGCAGTAACAAGATGGAGCTAGACCCAATGCAAGGAGTCTTGCATTTATACTATGCAGGTAATTTTTGTCATTGCTTCAAGCTTTCCTAACAGCAATATTTCCATTTCATTTTGTCAGGAAATACTCTGCCTGGCGTAAAGATGGTTCATTCCATTACATCCACACCACCTCTTTTGGGAACTATTCATTCATCTGTGTCGATGCCACACTCAGCCCAGGCCCTAAGAGACCCTATAATTTCTTTGGGATTTTAAACACGGTATTTTATAAGTCTTGGCATTCTGTTTTACTGGCTGTTTTATTTCTATAACAGTTTGTTTGGGGGGTTTGGTTATTGTTTTTATAAAGAATAATTGTCTGAAAGATTTGTGTTCATCTAAAAGAGTCTTTACGTTTTTAAGTTATTATGCATGTGGAACATCTATTTAGAAAAATGAATGTGTCACTTAACATATAGAGTATCTGTTTTCTCTCTTAAGAAATAATCCAGTACAAAAATGTCAAATTAGCCATTTTAAGGACACTGTCAGTAGTTTCTTAGCATTTAGCTAGACTTGAGTGATTATTTCCTTATATGCTGTAAAGTTTAAAAAAAAAAAAACCACCACCAAACCCAAACTTTCTAATTTCACTCCTTTTTGCTTTGTTAGATGCTTTTTTTCATTAATATTACAGATGAGAGAGTTGCACTTGTTAGTGGAATAATGGGAAAGATAATGCTATAAAGAAATGTGTCATTTATGAATTGAGGACTGAACTTCTGAGACCCTAAAAATTACATGGTATTGTTTTGAAAGAATAACATTAATCCCAATGTTTAAATCGCATATCAGCTTAGATAACATTTTGCTTCCCTTTGACTTTTCTCTGTAGTTTGTTGATATGCTATTGTTCTTGAGATACTCTTCTGAAGTGTTGGCAGAGATTTACTGTGTTCTGGTAAACAGATACCATATTTTGCCTGTGATAATGGCCTCAATGAAAAGTAAAATGTTGTCCCTCTAATCTTGTCTAAAGGAGGCTCAACATTTAATTGTTTGTAAAGTGCTTGGTGATACTTAGATGAAAGGTGTGCCAAGTACTGTTCTCATTGTTTACTGTAATCCATAGTGGGTGCAGTAGATTTGCAGACAAACTCTCAAGGAGCTAAGAAATGCAGTTGAGTCTAGAGCTCCTGTCCTTGGCTGCAGTAAGTCAAGCATCTGCTTGCCAGTTACTCAGGAGCAGGAGTCCAGAGAGCATCATTTGCAGATTTTTGCACAAAACTGAAAGTAAAGGTAGATATCTGTAACTTTCAAGAATTAAACCTCTGCCAGGAATTTGAAAAAGAAGTTAGATTTGTATCAGTGATTTGATTGCATAGCTTAGGTGGAAAATATTCTTAAAGCCCAAATTCATAAAGGCAAAGGAAATGTAATTTAATCTAATAAGCCTGTTACACTAACCCAGAATGGTATACTAAATCCATTCACTTTCTAATGTACCCTTATTTCCATTTCCTTTATTCATGCACTTCAGCGTTTCTTTTCAGGTAGGAGGGAAAAGAATATGTTGGTGGTTCTCTGGGTTACCCTAAAAGATGATCTGCAAAATGGTGAAAGAGTGGATTTGTGTTCATTTCTAGTTTTAGTTTTCCTGCCTCCTGTATTAGACTTTGAGATCTTTTTGGTAATGGGAGTCTCTCTGGACAGTAGGCCGTTGAGTTAATACTGGAACTCAAACAAGCAATGGAGAGAAATTTTTCCTGCTGTGTAAAGTGTTACTTTTGCTTAACTTTAACAGCAGTGGCTGAGTAATGTTTTCAAGATTCACCATCATAGTTCATGCAGGTAAATGGCTGAACCATGTGGTGCACAGTTTCTGTGGTTTGTCATGCCTATAAAAGGCCATCTTGCAACTCAAGATAGTAGGGATGATAATTGTGAATAAAGATGTTTGTAAAATCAACTCAAGCATGTCGTCTTCGACTATATAAATAAGCAGGAGAAAGGACAAAACAGTGTTTACCAGAATCTTTCTTTATATTGTACTTTTCCTGTGTTCGGTTGAAAGGAAGGTGTTGAGTGTCCTGTTTTCACTCTT